ATGCATGCATGCATGCATGCATGCATGCATGCATGCATGCATGCATGCATGCGCTTGCATGCATGCGTTTGCATGCATGCAGCCCCAAAAGAAAGGCGTGGCCAACGCGGCTCTTTTGCCTTACCTTCTTCGTCAGCGTGATGTATCTGCACAGCACACACAAACAACAGCGGAGCTTGCATGCATGCATGCATGCATGCATGCATGCATGCATGCATGCATGCATGCGTTTGCATTCATGCATGCATGCGCACACGCACGCACACATGCATGCATGCGCGCATGCATGCATGCATAGGGCACTCAGATGCTGGGATTTAGCTGCAAGTTCGCGCTGCATGCATGCATGCATGCATGCGTATATGCATACATGCATGCAGGAATGCATGCATGCATGCAGGAATGCATGCATGCAGGAATGCATGCATGCATGCATGCATGCATGTTGGGGCTTGAGCTCACTTGTACTCATAATCGCCTGCGTCGTATTTGACGGAGTGGGACTCCCTGAGGGAGCCGTCGAGGGAGCGGGCTTGGGAAAAAGAGCTGTCTTGGAGGCGGTACTCCCAGTTGAGGGGGTCCATGGGGTCTTTCTTGGATTTGGACATGATAAAGGAGGAAATTGGATGGAAAAGAAGAAATAAAATGCAAAATGGAGGATATTTGATGCAAAAAGAACCAAAAAAGACGCAAAATGACGGAAAATCGACGAAATTCAACTTTTGCAAAACTCCCGAAACGCCAAACACTGACACCGACAAAACTGCCTCAAACGACGAAATCGCAAATTTCTAAACTCCAAAAACATCAAATTCGCAATTTGCTTTCATTATTTCCGCTTTTTAATTCATTTAATTGCATTTTTCTCCAAATTTGAACTGCAGCAGCAGCAGCAGCAGCAGCAGCAGCAGCAGCAGCAGCAGCAGCAGCAGCAGCAGCAGCAGCGGCGAGACCGCGCGGGTCCAGTGGTCACTGGCTCCGAGCCCCTTGCTGCAAAACTTTGTTCATTTTAATTAAAATAATATTTTTTATTTTTTAATTTAATTTAATTTGCAAAATTAAAAATTACTTTAAATGTTTCAAACGGCGATTGCCGCCGGCAAAGGCAGCAACTCGCACACCACAGGGTCACCTCCTCAAACCCTAAACCCTAAACCCTAAACCCTAAACCCTAAACCCTAAACCCTAAACCCTAAACCCTGAGTGCCGCCAACTACTTGGTGCTGCTGAGAGTTTAGAAAAATCGATTTCTCCCTACAACAAGTTTTGCTGCTGCTTGCTGCAGCACACGGGTCACCACAACAGGATCTGCAGCCGTCGTTCTTGCTGCTGCTGCTGCTTTTGCTGCTGCTGCTGCTGCTGCTGCTGCTGCTGCTGTTTGAAGGCAAGGAGAGTGTCTCAGCTTTCATCACTTTGTGTCTTTTGCTTTTTCTCTTATTTTGCAATTTCTCCTTTTGCATGCCTCAGACAAAAGGTAATACATTTAGTTGCATGCAAAAAGAAAATATCCACACAAAATGAAATAAATTAAAATAAAATAAAATAAAATAAAATAAAATAAAATAAAATAAAATAAAATAAATTACTTTTGGGGTTTTGTCGGAAAGAAATGCGTCAGGTCTACTTCGGGTGTACGTACACCTCGCGTGGGCCTCCGCGCTCTTCTTTTGCTGCTGTCTGTTTTTTGTCTTTTTATTCTATTAGTCTTATTTGGGCTAGCTGCTGCTGCTGCTGCTGCTGCTGTTGCTGCTGCTGCGGCTGTTGCTGCTGCTGCTGCTGCTGTTGCTGCTGCTGCTGTTGCTGCTGCTGCTGCTCCATTGCTTCCTACATTTCCCCGGGGCCCAGCGGTCCCGCGTGTCTCCTGCTGCTGCCTCCCTATTTGTTTGTGCGGAGACCCCACAGCAGCAGCAGCAGCAGCAGCAGCAGCAGCAGCAGCAGCAGCAGCAGGGACTTCCGTAACCTCCTCGTCTGAGGTGTCTAGGCAGCTTTCTGTGGAGATCTTCACTGTGGGGTCTCGGGTGTACGTACACCCCACGGGCTTAGAGGGGGAATTTTCCCGTGAAGAGACACTTATGACATCGGGGGAACTTTTAAAACAGCCGGAGCGCCTTTTGCTGCTGCTGCTGCTGCTGCTGCTGCTGCTGCTGCTGTTGCTGTTGCTGCTGCTGCTGCTGCTGCTCTCTGGGGACGCAGACGTCCGCCCAGTGTCTCGTTCGTTTTCCTGCCTCCCCGCGCCCCTTCGACTGGGCACCAGCTGCTGCTGCTGCTGCTGCTGTTGCTGCTGCTGTTGCTGCTGCTGCTGCTGCTGCTGCTGTTTCTGCTGCTGCTGCTCTGTTTTGGGGCGAGTAAAAAATGCTTCAATTGTGCAAGAGCTGCTGCGGGCGCTGCAGGGGCCCCCCGCACCCCCGGGGGCCCCCAGTACCCTGGGGGCCCCCGCACCCCCGGGGGCCCCCAGTGCCCTGGGGGCCCCCGTACCCCCGGGGGCCCCCAGTACCCTGGGGGCCCCATTGGCAGCAGCTCCGTGGGGCACAAATCCAGAAAAAGTCAAACTAATGACATTAATTGTTTTTAATTCTGTCTCCAACATATCTCCCGTCACAAGTCTGAAAAGGTCTAAAGACACCTCGCATAACGCCACCTCCAGGGGCCCCTGGGGGCCCCCTTCCTCTAGGGGGCCCCCGGGGGCCCCCGGGGCCCCTGGGGGCCCCTTTTTTAGGGTACCGCCCATTAATAAGGAACGCACGGGTGGGGGCAATGTGAAGG